GCTCTAAGCACTCCACAGCACCTGCTTTAGTTGCCTTCTTAACCTTTGGAACAAATTATTCACATCTATTTATTCTCCCATCCAAGTATGGGTATTGATCTGCACCAGGAAGAGGGTACTGGATGCAGAGATTATATCTAGGTTTAAAACTCAGTTCTACCATAAAGTTTAAATAACTTGTCCTTGCTCATGCCATGTATACATGAGATACATTTGAGCACCCAACTGCACAGCACTACCTGATAGATAGACAATTAACAGCCATTTTATACTTTGGTTTGGGGAGCTTCAGACTACATTTTTACCATAGTTATCATGCTGTAAATGAAAATTCCCATTCAAGCTCACAACACCCAACCAAGTCCATGATGTCACTGAGACCTAACTATTCTTTATATGTTACTTCTAAAGGAAAATGTGTTCTGAAACCACTTTGGAATTTGGAATATTGGAAATATCTCTCCCTTCCACCCTACCCCACCTTATCACAGCTGTGGCAGCTGGCCAGCCATGAGAATTGTGAACTAACAAAGAGGGTGGAATGTAGCCCCACAGGGCACATTCTACCTCCCTCTCCAAAGTCACTATAACCATTGGTCTCCCAGCCAAAAAGGATTACAGTGGCTGGAAAAATACTTTATACCCTTCAGAGCTTTAGGGATATTCCTGTCCATAACACAGCATGGTGCAATCTTTCATTATAAAGCATTCACAGAATCACACACATTTAGAACTGGCAAGGACTTTAAAATCCAATATGATTCAATAAATTTATAAGTCCTACTATGTGAAGAGTGCTTAGGCTCATTCTAGAAAAAACATATCACATTTAGATCAGGTGTTAAAATTTATAAAGCACATTCCTCACAACCCTGTGAAGTAGGTAAGGCAAATATTATTAGCCCCACTTTATAGATAAGGAAACTGAGGCATTGAACTATTAGGTGACTTGCCCATCCACATATAAAGGATAAGGTTTTGAGTGGGAATTCAAGTCTAAGTCTCCTGATTCCAAGTCCAATGTTCTTTCCAAGAAACTTGCTGCCTCTCCCCCAAAGTTATTTCTTCCACTTTACATGGGAGGAAACTGAAGTCCAGAGATGTGAAGCCACAACACAGGTCTGCATACTGGTTTTTGCAACTGAGAAATGTTTTTGTATGGACATTAAATGAACTTTCCACCTTTAGGATGTACCAAAACTATCACAGAAAGATAATAAGGGTAAAATTACAATCACTAATGGCAAAATACTTCCCTAAACATCTAATGAAGACAGTTGTTTTAGGGAAGATATTAATTGTTCCATCAAGAACCAAGTGACCTGGAACAGCTAGGTGGTGTAGTGGATAGAGTACTGACTCTGGAATCAGGAGGACCTGAGTTCAAATTTGGCCTCAGACACAAAACACTCATTAGCTTTGTGACTCTGGGCAAGTCACTTAACCCCAATTGTCTCATAAAAAAAAAAGAACCAAGTGACAGAATTTTTGTGGAAATGTGGCAGAGCAAAACAAAGTCTGATTTACAATCATTTCAGTAAATTTAGTGAGAGCAACCAGGTCACAATCACTTGACAAAATTAATTGAAAACAATTGCTTATCATCATAAAGGCAAAATAATCAGTTAATGAACTAAATGTCTCATAGTGTTAGAAGGAACTGTCTAATCCAAGGGTTCTTAACCATTTTGTGTATCATGTATGCCTTTGGCAAACTGGTGAGGACCATGGATCCTTTCTCAGAATGTTTTAAATAAACAATAAATATTTTAAATAACTAATAATGTTTTGAATTACAATTAAATTAATTAATTAAATTTAATTAATTATTATTTAAAAAGATAATGTTTTAAATAAATGAAATACATAGGATTATAAAGGAAACTAATTATATTGAAATACAATTATTGAAATATCTTTAAAAGAAGTATATTTGCCCTAGGTTAAGAACTTTTAATCTAATACAACCCTATAATTTTACAAATGAAGACACTGAATCTCTAGGAGAGTAAATGACTTGTCTAAGGTGATACAAGGAGTATCACAGGTAGGACTTGACCCCAGGTTCTCTGACTTTAGGGCAAACGCTGCTTTGTTCCTATGATGTAATACAGAATCACAACAGCACACAGAGGGAGATACTTCTATTCTATGTAATGTAGGCTTCTGAAGAAACTTCCAGATAATGTTCATACCTCCACCATCTCATGCAACCCTGTCTCCTTTCTAGGAATCTGAGAGATTATGGGTCATAGACAAAGCCATATTAGTTAATGGATAACCTCAAGTGGATTAAGAATTGATGGATTCTGTGTCTTTCTCTGTTAGTGACTCTGTGTGGTAGTGAAAGGATAATAATACCACTTCCTTTCCATCAAATGGAAAAGATCACTTTCACTATGTACCTAAGCATGGTATTGGGAGAGTTTGCTTTGAAATCTTTTAGAAGAAAAGTACATTATAAATGTAAACGATGCCTGGTGCCCCATCATTGTCCCCTGTGGGTGCTCAACAGAAAGGACCTAAATTGAATAGTCTATCTTTGGTTTTCATTGTTATAATTAATCTTATTTGTGCTTTGTGAGTATGATCTGATCTCTGGATGGGTATTGCGTAAAATAAAAATGAATTGTAAACTCAAAGAAAGCAGATCTATTAGCATTTTATTGCATGCTTTCTCACAATGTGGCTCTATAAAGGGAGGAAGGAAAGTAGAGTGAGTGGGGAACATATTTGTAGTGTCAGTGTGCTATTTCTAGTGTCTGAAATTCCTTCATGTAGGACCCTAGAGTTGTCAGGCCAACAAAAGCCAAATAAGTGACCCCTTAAAGAAGGCTACTTCCACAACTACTGAAAGGGATTCTGGAGTGATATCACCCTATAGGTCATTAAAATGCCTATACAACTGCTCATAAGTAAATGAGCAGGGAAAGATTTTCAGCCATGGTCCAAGTGTTCCCAAGTTGGGCAATGCCCTGGTGTGGTATAATCCTACCTGTTACTCCTGGAATTTAGCCAAGAGATTGAATTAAAGCATACCAAGAAAACCAAGTCTGTCACACCCCAATGAGCTATCTTATAACTGATGTCCCAGTATTTATTCTTTTCATTATAATCTTTACCTCAGGCTAGTTTCTTTTTATTCTTACAAGTAACTAGCTTTTTTTTCCTTTGCAATCAGTCTTTCATCTTCACAGTTAAATTAGAAGGTGAACCAGCCTGTTCCCATGAAAACTGTCCTAGTTCATCTTGTACACAATGACAGTGATGACTGTTCTACGGAGGGATTTAACAGCAACCAAAATTTGCCATTGAAATTTAACCTTCCTCTCTTCTGCCAGGCCAAAGGGATCCCTAAAAGGAAGGAAACTATTCCACATGCCCCTGAAAACTATTTTGTCTTGACTCTCCAGTGGCCTAGTGAAAGACTTTGAGTTTCATATCTCCCCAGGCAACTAGGGTGATCACACATGTGAGTAATGAGGAGGCTTCAGTACCCTAGTCTCATGACCTGAGGTCAGAAGCACCATAGTAATGACTGTCAATGCAGTAGATCAGAGAAACAAAAATATTGACAAAAGCAGATTAGGCTGAGATATTCCATACTAATTCTTTCATGGGCACCCTTCTCTCTTCCCCCTTTTCCAGCCACTCTTTATGTTTTGCCTTCCCCTATTAGAATGTAAACTCTTTAAGAATGTAAATTTTTATTTTTATATTCCCAGCACCTGACACAGTACATAGTGCGTAGTAAGTATTTATAAGTAAGCCATTAATAAATCCATCCATCCATCCATCCATCCATCTATCTATCCATCTATCTATCTGCACCAGTTCAAATGTCTAGTTAGCATTGGGAACCCTGGGCCTGGACATGGAAGAAATGGAGAGGATTGGGCCTCTGGCCATGGAAATAAAATCCTCCAACTGCTTCTTCTAAATTGCTTATTTCTCTTTGGCACTAGAACTTAAAGCCACTTCAAGAATGTTCATAGGGAAAAGATTGGACACAGAGAATAAAGTTTTATTAGAAACCACAGATTTGGTATTTGGTATTCAACATCAAACCACTTGGTCCAGGAATTAAAACAACCTTTAAAAAAAAGTTTTAATACCTATCTGCTCTGCCCTATGGGCCCATTAGATTCCATTTCCTTTGCTTTATTGCAGCAAATGCTTCTAAAAATTTTAAATTATTATTTCTTTAAAAACAAACTCTCCCAATTTTATCGGGGATGTTACACAGAGGGAAAGAAGTAAACATTTAAAAGGAAACAAAGAACCTTCATCTTGGCTTCATTATTAGCCTCTATACTCTGACCTCCATTTTAGCTGAGCAATTTCTTGGTAAAGAAGAGGAAGTGGGGGGAAAGGCACAGGGAGGATTATCTGGGAGAGTTCATCGCAAAAGTGTCACTGTTGTTGTTGTTGTTGTTGTTTTGGAAAGGAAATGTTTTACCTAATACACTTAAATTTTTTTTATTTCTTTAATGCTCCCACACAATTTTGTTTGCTTACTACATGCCCCACTAGGGTTAACCTAAAAAGCTGCCCTAAGTCCATCCCACTCAGATAGATACAAACTTCCAAGATGGAGCAAATGCAGCAAATTGATTGAATATAATTATAAAAACCAAAATGAACCTCCAAGCTCTCTGCTCACATTCCCCCCATGAACCAGCCCACAAATCAAACAACAAATATTTAAGGAATCTTTTTGTCATACATAGCATTGAACTAGGCATTGAGATACAATTGCACAGGAAAACAGGCTCAAAACTAATTAAGCCGGATACTAGAAAAAAAGCCATTCCACTGAATAGATTGAGGAGACGGATGGAGGAGCTGTCTCCAGACTAGATTGTTTTCTCATTCTGTCCCAGGCCCAGAATGAACTGGGACTCCATAGCCAAGCTCCCGGCCTCTGCTGCCCTCTAGTGGCAAGAGATGGAGCTCACAAAACAGCGTCTCAGCCCACGCTTTTCTTCACTTTGCTTTACCTCATCTGTTTCAGGAGAAAATTCTTTTCTTTTGGGAGGCTGTCCTGCTCCTGGCCGAAAGGCTCCCATTGGGATGTTGATATTCGCCTGTGAGAGAAAAACATTGAGAGATTGGCCACAGGAAAATAATGAGCCTGCCGTGAATTCCCTGAGAGACATCTTGCTGCTCAGCTGACTCCTAGAGAGGGGAAGGGGCTGGGGAGAATGAATTTGCAAAGGAAGGATGACACCTTCTTGTGTTTGTTGTAACAGAACTACCAGCATGTCAGGCCAAAGCTATTTATAGCCAGCCTCATTACTACTCAGTGGTTCTACCCTTCAGGATTGTGGAGTACGAACTGAAGACAATAATGGTTGTCATTTTTGGAGATACCTAGCTCTTTTCTGTTCTGCTCTTTTCTGTCCATGATGGGAATGCATATTCCCTAAACACAGAGAGGCGACCACCCTCTGTAGCCTGAGTCAAATCTCTTCCATCCCTACACATTCGCCCAAGGCTTTTATCGGCAGTGTAAGGCAGATTTAGCGAGGCTAGACAGTCTCTTTCCATAGCCTCATTCCATAAAAGTTCACAGACATTACCAGCATATAAACGAGTCTTCACTCTCCATTATGTAGTCATTTGGGGTAGTGACTGAGAAGGGCAGCAGACTGGGGAATCAAGGCTCCCATACACCATCCAGATGATTTAATATAGTAATTATACAAATCAACAACATGCCAGGATTACGGTATTAAACTTAAGCACCCTAAATTTTAAAACTCCTTAGCAAGAATGTTAAGACACTATGCATTTTATAGAGCCACTCATGAATGAATGAATGATAAAGCATTTATTAAAGGCTGAGGATGTGCCAAGCACTGTACTAAGCCCTTGGAATACAAAAAGGGACAAGTGAGATAGGCCTTGTACTCAAGAAGCACATACTCTAATAGGCAGAGATGGCAAAGATAAGGGAATTCAGCTTCGTGGCATATAGAAAGACCCAAAAGGGCTGAGTTCAGTGTGGAGTGGAAGACAAAACAGAGGGACTGAAAAGTCCATCAACAAGTCTTATGACAGTGTGTAAGGGTCTAGAAGTTACAGTGGCAGAGCAAATAATAAGACCCCAAAGGATCTTAGGACGCATTGCAGGGCAGATGGTAAGACCTGGTGGTCATCCATTTGAAACCTAATAGTTTGGATTTGAAGGAAATATTTCATTTGGGCTTCACAATAGCCCTTTTTTAAGTGATACTACACCCCCATTTTACAGATGGAGAAAATGAATTTCAGAGAGGTTAAGTTATTTATTTGCTAATGGGCACCCAGCTAATGTCAGAGAAAATAGTTGAACTCAATGCTTCTAACCTCTCTGTGCCTCAATTTCCTCATCTGTGAAGTGAGATACTTAGACTTGATGGCCTTGAAGGACTCTTTTAGCTCCAAATCTATGATTCTATGACTCCATGTACAATATTCTATGCACTACTCCATTTTCTATTTCTCAAGTAAATGAAATATTTGAAAAGCAAAGTAAAAAAAATCTTTATATATCATAGATCATGGGAGTTTTCAATGTAAATGGTCATTAGTTTTCTTGGCTTATGAGTTCTCTTTTATGATATGTATAAAGATTGTTTCCTGAGCAAAGAGAGTAAAGAAAATTTCCAAACTCTTATGGTAAGTATTAGATGATTGTATTAGAATATACAGTTTAATTTCACAGAGTGTATACCTGTTACCACCATCCCCCAAGAAAAGTGAATAAAAGCTTTTGGGAGGGAAAAAGAACTTTTGGATAGAATTTTTAAGGTTCAAACTCATTAGATGAGAAGTTAAAAGACATACATTTGAAAGATCAATGAAGGGAGGGGTTTAAAAGACCCAGAATGTTACTTCTTGGAATCATCTGCTAAAGATACTTTTTGAAACAAGTGTTTGAGAGTTTTACCTCTTTTCTCAAATTATGAATGAACTGATAGATCAATATTCTACCACTTCAATGTTTTTTAAAATTTGTTTGTTTGTTTTTGCAAGGCAGTTGGGGTTAAGTGACTTGCCCAGGGTCACACAGCTAGTAAGTATCAAATATCTGAGGCTGGATTTGAAGTTAGGTCCTCCTGACTCCAGAGCCAGTGTTCTATCCACTGTGCCGCCTAGCTGCCCCCACTTCAATGTTTTTGACAATACAAAGTACACCCTCCAATAGTGCAAATTGTAACCCATCAGTCCTATGTGGTTTTTATCCATGTCTTCTTATAACCCCTCCATAGAAGATCAATCAATTTACAAAACCCAAGGTGATTCCCAGTGTCTTGAAGAACATCCTAGACTGAGTCGAAATAGAAAAGAGATCCTTTTAATAGACAATGTTCTCCAGATGCTTCCATCAGTACGATACAGATTGCTTGCATCAAGTCCAGGAACATTAGAGGGCTGCCTATGACTACTGAAAAGATATCAGGCAGATAAACTAAGAGGCTGAGGAATAGATATAATAGCTAGTGTTTACATAGCACTCTAAGATTTGCAAAGCACTTTACAAATATTCTCATTTTATCCCCACAACAACCTTGGGAGATTGTTAATATTATCCCCAATTTAAAGACAAGGAAACTGAGGCAGGCAGAGGTGTGGGTCATATAGCCCAGGATCACACAGCTAGTAAGTGTCTGAAGCCAGATTTGAACTCATCTTCCTCGCTTGAGGCACATAGCCGCTTTGATTCCTACTGCCCATGTTTAGGCATGTAGTTCAAGGGGCTGTCCACTGGCAGTGCATTAGCACATAAATCTTGGTTATAGACATTCAAGATGGATAATGAGGTGGGGGCTACATTGGATAAGAAGAGTAGGACATACCGCATTTGGGAAATTGTGCACCACTTTAAATAGTTCCAAACTTCTCATTATGGCCAATTCTGTTCTTTTTAACAGGAATGTTTTTGTGGTGATTCTGTATAGATGTGAAACATGGACCAATATGATCTCAGAATAATCAAAATCCTAAGTAACCTTTAGGGCAATGGAAAGATGAGTAGTAGATGTAAGTAGGTGATAGCTGATCATTAATGATGACTTGTATGTGATAAAAGCCATAAAAAACATCATGAGTGATTGGAAAAGAAGGTGGGTCAGTTCTTAAGGAAAAGGAAGGAATAACATGTAAATAAGACAAGTATTTCATTGCTACACATGAAATATCAAAAGACCTGGAGGAATACCACTAGCACGTTGGAGAGACTGTCTCTACAAAGTATTTCTGGGGGGGGGAAATGTTGCTGTTGTTCAGTTGTATCTGACTCTTCATGACCACATTTGGGGTTTTCTTGGCAAAGAGACTAGAGTGGTTTGCCATTTCCTTCTCCAGTTCACTGTATAAATAAGGAATTGAAGCAAAGTTAAGTGACTTGCCCAGGGTCACACAGCTACTAAGTGTCTGAGGCCAGATTTCAACTCAGGAAGATAAATCTTCTTGACTTCAAGCCACTTCAAGCACTCTATCTGCTGTGCCACCTAGCTGCCCCTTCTAAATATGGACAAGAATTTCAAAGAATGAGAAGACACAAATGGATTGGTATCTGCACCAGTGGAAAGAGTGACCACATGAAAGAGATTATAAATATCAAAAGATCAGAAGGTGAAAAAAATCTGAAGAGGCAGCATTTAGTAGTGGAAAAATATACTAGAGCCAGGATACCTGGGATGTAATCCTGGATTTGCTGTAGAACATTAAGGAAGAAATTTAACCTCTCTGGGCCTTATTTTACTCAAGAGTTGGAATAAATTATCAATTAAGCCCCATTCAACTCTAAAATTCTATGACCTATGTTCTTCAGTAATGCAAAATTAAACATAAATACTAAATACATCAGAAAAAAGTAAAAGTTGTACTTGTCATATAAACAGAATTAAGACACATATGACCAAAGTTAACTAAGTCATGCTTTCAGGAAAGGCTATTATGTGCAAAAATATGCATTTTGGTATACTTCTGCAAGAATTGCTGTTTTATGACACTCAAGTACATTTTAGTAACACTCAGCTTATGAAGTTTTACCTGGTAGAGGCCCTTAGAGACTTGCCTTACTGAACAGATAAGAATGGTTTGTGGGTTTCATAGCAATTATTTGTATTTGTAGGTTCTTGAAAACATTTGATTTCCTTAAGAATACAAAATTCATTGTTGTGAACACTATAAATAATGGCAGGAAATGCTTGACATCTACAACTCTAATTTTATAAACACAGGTAAGAGTACCTAAAAGAAGAAACTGCTGGGTGTTACTGTAATTTTTAAAATATATATTCACCATCCTGAGGGCAATGTTTATTTCTACTCACAAAAAAAAAATGCAACAACCTGCTGTAGTTTTTAATCTAGATTACATAAGTAACTGAGAACTTGATGTTTACCAACACTGAACAAAAATGCCTTCAAGTTTTATGGCCCCTAAAAGAGAAGGAGGCAGCATTGCAAAGAATGGTGGGTGTGTAATACAAGGACCTGGGTTCCAATTCCTGCTGTCATTGACCTTGGGCAAATCATTTAATATCTATGGGCTTTAGCTTCCTCTGCTATAAAATGGGAGTCAGAGTGGGGGGAGGGCAGTCAGACAAAATGACCTCTAAGGTCCCTTCTACCTCTAAATATGTGATCATAGTACTTACAAATTCCCACAGTTATGTTATGGAAAACTATGTGTGTGTGTGTGTGTGTGTGTGTGTGTGTGTATACACACATATACACATATACATGCATATATATACACATATACACATATATATGTATATATATACATATGTATGTGTATATATACATATATATGTGTGTGTATGTATATGTGTGTGTGTGTGTGTGTGTGTATGTGTGTATATAAATATATCGTGGATGGCTCTTACCTCAATGATTGGGAAGGATGCTAAGCTGTTTCCACAGAATACAGCTCCTTTGTAAGAGGAATACCTACCAAGTACATCAGCAAATATTTGGTAATAGAGCACAGAAGTCTTCAAACCAAAAGAGAAGATACTGAGAATCAATCCTTAGGAATTTCAGGTGCATTTATCACATATGAATCACTCTTGGAAAGAAGGAAGGTAAA